AGCAGCCTTTGGGAAATAGTGACCATAATTTGATAGCATTTCATATTAAGACTGAACACAATATTGTTCATTCCAAAAGTAGGGCCTTAGATCCAAAAGGAAATTATTAAGGTATGAAGGTCAGGTTGGCTTCGATGAATTGGGAAAATATACAAAAGACTGGATGGTAGACAGGCAATGGCTAGTATTTAAAGAAATTTTACATAGTCTACAGTAGACATACATTTTTCAAATGCACGTACACACACCACATTGAACTAAAATTAAAATCTGCATTAGATCAAAGGAAGCAGATTACAAGAATGCCAGAAAAACTGGCAAGTCTGACAACTAGCGTTGGTTTAGAACACAACAAAGCAGGACTAAAAAATTGATAAAGAAAGGGGAAACTGATTATTAATACAAACGAGGAACATCAAGGTGCAGTGTAAAAGCTTCCTTAGATATGCAAAAAGAAAATGATTAACTGGGACAAATGCAGGCCCATCACAAATGGAGTCAGGAAAATGTAAAGGGGAAAACAGCAAAATGGCAGAGAAACTAAACTGCTAATTTATGTCGGTCTTTGCTGCAAAAAACCTCTCAGAAATACCAGGCAATCAATGGACTTGCATAACTAAGGAACTGAAAGAAATCAGTATTTGTAAAGAGATAACACAGCGTGGAGCTGGAGGAATACAGCTAGCCAGGCAAGCATCAGAATAGCAGGAAAGTCGACATTTCGGGTCGGGACCTTCATATTCCACTTCAGGAGCCTACAGCCTGATGGCCTAAACATGGATTTCACCAGTTTTAAAATCTCCCCACCCCCCGGCTTCATCCCATGTCCAGCCCTCCCTCTCATCCCCGCCTCCTTGATTTGACACAACTTGTCCATCTTCTCTCCCGCCTATCCGCCCCTCCTATCCCACTGACCAATCCCCACCACTGCCTTCCTGCACTCACCTATCACCATCCCACCTACCTTCCCCAGCCCTACCCCTCCTCTATTTATTTCCCAGCTCCCTCCCTCCTCCCCAACCCCCCCGCCACCATTTCTGAAGAAGGGTCCCGATCCAAAATGTCAGCTTTCCTGCTCCTTTGATGCTGCCTGGCCTGCTGTGTTCCTCCAGCTCCACACTGTGTTATCTCTGACTCCAGCATCTGCAGTTCTTGCTATCTCCGAGTATTTGTAAAGAGCCAGTTTTTGAAAAGCTAACCAAATTCGAGGCTGGTAAATGCCCTGGAGCAATGAGGTTAATTCTGGAGTATTGAACGTGCCGAGAGAAAGAGTGCACTCTTTTCAGTTATCTTTCAAAAATTCTATAGATTCTGGAAAGGTTCCTGTGGACTGTGAAGTAGAACATATAACACTACTATTTAAGAAAAGTGTAAGAGATAGAATGGAGAACTGTTAGTTCTAATAGACCCGTTAGTTGACCTTGATAGTCAGGAAAATATTAGACTTCAATACGAAGGATAGGATAACTGGATACGTAGAGAAGGGTGGTAAAATTGGTCAGAGTCAACATGGATATATGAAAGGGAAATAATGATGAACAAACCTTAAGCAGTTTTCTCAGGACATTATTTATAGCAATGATAAAGCAGACTCAGTGGATCTGGTATATTTGAATTTCTATAATGCCTTTGATAAGGTACCACACAGGAACTTAGTAAAATAAAATTAGGTGACATGAGATTTAAGGAAATATAATGGAATGGATTGAGGTTTGGTTATCAGGCAGAAAGCAGAGAACTGGAATGAACAGGTTGGGTACTACAGGGATCAGAGCTCAGTCCATGCCTGTTTGCATAACGATAAATAGTCTGGCTCTTGTCAACAACCAATATGCAAGACCTTTACGTGCAAGGGCAGAAGTAGGCCATTCCGCCTATCAAATCAGTTCCACCATTCAATGAGATCCTGGCTGATCTGATAATCCTCAACTCCACATTCATGCCTTATCCCCATAATTCTTGATTGCCTTAGACATTAAAAATTGTCTCTCAACCTTGAACACATATATGGATCCAACCATGGCAGTCCTTTGCCATAAAGAACTCCACAGATTCACTATCCACCAAGAGGAGAGATTCCTCCTCATCTTTGTCTGAAATGACTGACACTTTACTGTGAGATTATACCTTCTGATGCTAAACTCTTCATCAAGGAAAAACAACCACTCTGCATCTACTCTGTCAAGCCCCCTAAGAATCATGTATGTTTCAACAAGGTCACTTATTGAGTACAGGCATATCCTACTCATAATACTCCAGCTTCTCCCATAAAAAATCACTCCACAGTTGAGATCAATCCAGTGAGCCTTCTCTGCGCTGCCTCCAATGCCAGTTTACATTTCCTTTGATAAGTGGATCAAAACTGTTCACAGTATTCCATCTGTGGTTTAACTAGTGCCTTGTATTGTTTTAGCAAAAGTCTCCTATTTTAATACTTTATTCGCTTTAAAATAAAGTCAAATGGTCCATTTGCATTGTCTGCTCCCCAATGAACTTGGATGCTAGCATTTCGTAATTCATGTACAAGGACCCGCAAATCCCTCCGTGCTGCAGCTTTCTGCAGTCTCACTCTATTTAAATAATATTCAGTTCTTTGATTCTTCCTGCCAAAGGGCAAAACCTCAGGTTTTCCACATGATGTTCCATCCGCCCAGTTTTTGCACATTCACTTATGATGTACCTACACCCCAAAGACTGCAGCAGTTAAAGAAGGCAACTCACCACACAAACAATTAGGTTTGGAGATTAAATTTTAGCTTTGCCAGTGATGTCCACGAATCATGAATGTTCAAAAAATCTCTGCATTATCCCTATGTCTGTTTTCATCTTCCTCCTTTTTTATCCCGCTTAAAACTATTACAATTTTAACTTCTCCCAGATATGATGAATGGTCATTGGATTTCCAGCATTTTTCGACATTCTTTTAAGACAAAGATTGGGCTGCATTAAGAAAGCAGCAAGTGCAAAAATGTCAGATTTTAAACCAGAAGAAATACTACCACCACGTCCAAGCTGGTTTTGAACTGTTCGTGGTAGAGAACAGCCATTTCATCTAGCCAACTGGCAAGTGGGATCCCATTAGTAACAAGTGTTCCTATCCTTATCGGCTTTTATATTTATACATTTATTGTCAGAATCCCACTACAACCAAGATTAGAAAATTTGAAGTTAATACTGCAATTGAAGACCTTATCCCAATGTCAATTACTATAGACTTCTTTGAACTATTTCTGGTTCTATTGTGTTGGCCTCAATAAAACAATGGTAGATACAAGACCCCTTATTCATTTTCTTATGATCACAATCGTTTGACTCTAGGCAATAAAGACTTTTGAAACATCTAATATAACATTGTCTGCTGGTCATACTGTCTGTTTTTTAGACGTGACTTGTCATTCAAGCCTGCTTCATCTCCACTATAATAATGAAGATTAATCACCCTGACTATCCTTTGAGACATGTGCTAGTATGACGTACTTAATTCAATTTGGTATTTACAAAACCACAAATGTATCTCAAATTATCTCTGTTTCTCATTTTGTTAGAAGATCTGATTCATTTTTCACTTAGCATCCCATATTCCACAAATGGCACGTCAACAACTTACTATTTAGTACGTTAAATTAACATCTTCAAAAGAAATTTGTGTTGCCTGTTTTATGCATGCAAAATAAGAAACAGAAATTAAAAGTTCTTCATTTAATTTAGAGGTCAGAGAGAAAGTTTCTGTAACACTTCACCATTTAATCACAATTTCAGTTTACGATGATTTTATATACATGTTGTGAATTACTTTTTCTTCTCTGCCCTTGTTATTTGAAACATTTACATTTAAACTTTGCATTGACCATCCCACATGCACTTTACAGAAAATTACATCTGTTGACAATCTCTAAAGTCACAACATCAATGCTGCTGTAAAATTATACTTAATTGAGAAAAAAAATCATGACTTCATATCATAAGTGACCTGTTTAGCTTGGCTGCAAACAAAAATCACACCAAACTCTTGTAAGATGAGCTAACTGAAGCAAAAAATAAGAACTAACTAAAGTAATTCTCCCTTTCCTAAATAGTGAATGATATATCACCCTCAGTCAGGCATCTGGCCAGTTTGATATAGCTTTATTGGTCTGTATCTAAAATCTTAAATTCCGTTGGCAGCATTTGTGGTTCTGAATCAAATGTTATGGGGCTGAAGTCTCCACGTGAGAAGGCTTGAACACAAAGATCTATGCCGACACACAAATCCAGTACAAACAGTATTGCGCTGTTGCAGGCGCCATCTTTCAGATCTAAATGTTAAATGGAGGTCCTTTCTGCCTGTAAAGCAGACGAAAAACCTCTTGGCATGATTTTTCAAACAAGCTGATGATTTATTCCCAGTGGTCTGGTTAATAGCTATTCCTCAATCAGGAGCACAAAACAGATTAATCTAGTCATTATCACATTGCTCTTTGTGGAAGCTCATGTCGTGCATATTGGCTGCTGTGCTACATGCATCACAACTGCAGTTCAAAAAATACTTAAACTAGTTGCTAAACACTTTGGTATCTCCTGAAGTGTGAAGGGCACTATCTAATTGTAAGTCTCCCTTTAAATGAAAGTCTTTTTTTAAAGGACTGGTTATCACATTGTTTTTGTGGAGAATGCATAAATTTGCAACCTACTTCTAATCTGCCTAAGCGCCCAATGTATTAGCTGAATCAAATAAACTTTCAAACTTTGCAATTCTGAGTTTAGATTTTGATTTCTTTTTTAAATTTTAGATGTTGAAATCCAACTATTTCGTAATTGACCATGCAGATGGTGTCTACTAAAACTTTGTTCTCTCTCTAAAGATAACGTAATGAACAGTGCCACAGGTTATCTTGACTTGCTCAAAAATATTTTTCCTATGGTCTCATGCTTACATTGTTAGACAATTGAAGTAATGTCTCACACAGAAAAAAAACATGATTGGTAATTAAAATATTTTCTTACATTCTGTCAACTAGTTGTCTAGTCAAGGCTAGAAAAGACTTCTCGGTCTTCTTGTTTGGATCTTCTAACGCCTGGTGCTCAGTAGTCTGACCACTGGGTACACTGATATTCCGCGGTTCTGCCAAAACTGGATGTATTGGAATTTCTTCCTTTCCAACAATAAACCTAACATTTGGGAATCAACAACATATTCATGAAATAAAATGCAAACAAGCAGCACTGAGTCTTTAAATTTCTAATGTGGTAAGTCATTGCATTCCTTAAAAAATACAGATCAGGACTGAGGTTGGAAATGATTTAATCTTGAAATTTAAATCTAAGGCTCCCTGATGGCATTGTTACAGATATATTACCACGTAATTCCCAGTCTGTTTTCAGTTAGCAATCTCAGTTAGGCAGCAGTTGAAATACTTTTTGTGGTTTTAACACCCCTAGGTTAAGGAATGGAAACAATTATACAAGTTTCAAAATCCAGATAATTGCCTAGTGCCTATCTGGAAATTCCATGTGTTAACATTGAGTGAGGACAGAATAACTTGCCAGTATTCAATGCTTAGCATTACACATGAAGTATGGCCACTTCAGTGATGTACAACAGACCTCTGGTGGGCATGCAATTGCTCACTCACACAAATCAAAAATTTGAATACCGAAGGAAAAAATATATACAAAATTGAAGACCCTAAAAAGTATTAATGCAAAAATTAACTACTTACAATGGCCATAATCCAGAAATTAAACCAGATAATCAAAAAATTGGTGAATTTATGCTTCCAATGCACAAGGGAAACATTGGTGATTTGTAACTGAAACCATCTGTAATTTACATTGACCATACTACATTTTAGACTTCAGGTCATCAATGAAGTTGTGATATTCTTGATGCACCAGAGCTAACTATCTCTTGTGCTTCAGCTTTCAAACTTCAAGAATTCATGCATTTCTGCCACAGAGAGGAGCCATTTGTAGGCCTCATAGCAAGGAGACTGACATTGTGGCAATGCTGGTTACCAGTCTACCCCATAATCCTCAATAAATATATCAGTCATTAGTATCAACTAATAACCATTATACAATAAAGCAATAAATTTTAATGTAATAATTTAAGAGTAATAACATTTTAAAGTGTAGATGCTTTATGTATACTTTGGCAAAGGCTGAACCAATGATTTCTATTTATAACCCTATATTCTTACCAACATCTGAAAAAAATTTTACTATGAAATTCAATATTGCTGTAAAATTGAAGTTGATTTCCAACTTCTTTCTTCGGTTTTTACCCAAGGGCTCATGAATGATGTTACTTGATGTTACAAGAGCTGCTTTTACTTGCTTTAAAAAGAGTTCCACCTGTCTGACATTGTACAAATACAATAAAGTCAACATTGAAGGAAACTCAACTCAAAATAATATCTATGCAAGCTGATCTGTCAATGTTCTATTTTCTCAGTAGAGGCTGGAACTACACTTTAATTAACTCATGCCTTGACAGAGTAGGACAGATCCATCTGACTCTACTTCAGAATGAAGATAATAATTATAACCGTGGGCAATAGTCTTCCCTACGTGTCGAGCAGTCAGGACGACGAGCTGCACCAATGAAGGATGGCTTTACCAAATCATCCTACAGTATCATTCAAGGTAAATGGGACTAATTTAGATTGAGAAACTTGGTCAGCCTGAATGAGTTTGACTGAAGGGTCTGTTTCTGTGCTGTATGACTCTATCACTAACTCAGCAACAGCTACATATGGGCCTTGTTGATCTTTATTTAATAAATGATATCATTGAGGTTGTACAATCCTGAAAATGCTATCCATAATAGAAAACTTCTTTATAAATTCCTATGTAAATAGATTTATGTTTACTGTTTAGTCTTTTGAGCAAAAAAAGTTACCAAATAAAATTTAGAAAATTCACATTTTTTTCCTACTTACTTGAGTGCTGAGAAAGCAAATCCCTTGAGGCCATCTTTGCATCTGGAAAACAAACATCACTTGGTTCATACATGCAGTCAAACCTACCATAAAGCATACATATTCTGTAGTAATGTCTGGTGATTTATATTCTTTGACCTACGGTTTTCAACAAAGAAACATCTATTCAGCCCAATAGGTCCAAGTTCCATATGACCTTCCTCCAATCATTCTTTCTTAAATCCCATCAAAATATCCATTTTGCTCCTTTCTCACTCATGTTTACTTAGGTTTTTCTGAAACACATCTACACACATTGCCTCAACTGCTTACGGCTGTGAGCTCAAAACTCTATTCATCCTTTGGGCAAAAAAGTTAATTTCCTAAATTCCTTATAGGATTTACTAGCAAGTATTTTATACTTGGGGTAAGGGGTAAAGATCGAGTCAATAAAAAACAGCCAAAATTTCTATCTTTGGTCTCCATTTCTTTAAACTTCTGCTGTAAAGTACATGTAAGGAAAAGGTGGCAACAACAATATCAAATCCAACACCACATCTCAAGATGGATGACAGGCAGACAATGTCAATTGGAGCACACTGAATCTACTCCCCGCTAAGCCACATACTTCAAAGCTCCTAAGACAGAAGGAATCATAAATCAGCTGGATTCAATATCTTCAGGTAAAGAACAGGAAAGAAAAGAGAAGATAGAGGTTTCAGGGAAAAAAAGTACTTTAAATACTAATTGTAAGAGCAAAACAGGGAAGGTGGCTCAACCATGGCTAACAAGGGAAAATCAGGAACAATGTTAAAGCCAAAGAGGCATATACATTGGCCAAAAAAAGCACTAAACCGGAGGACAGGCAGAATTTTTAAATTCAGAGGAGGACAAACGGTTTAATTCAGAAGGGGAAAATAGAATAAGAGAGTAGACTTGCGGAAAATGTAAAAACTGACTGCAAAAGCTTCTACAGATATGTGGAGAGAAAAAAGACTGGTGAAAACAAATGTAGGTCCCTTGCATTTAGAATCAGGTGAATTCATAATGGACAACGAAGAGATGGCAGACCATTTGAACAAATACTTGGATCTGACTTCACTAAGGAGGACACAAATAATCTTCAGCAAATGTTTGGGGACAGAGGGTCAAGCATTAAAGAGGAACTGAAAGAAATCCTTATTAGTCAGGAAATGGTATTGGGGAAATTGATGCGATTAAAACATGCTAAGTAGCCGGGGCCTGATGCTCTGCATCCCACAGTACTTAAGGAAGTGGCTCTAGAAATAGCAGATGCATCGGTGATCATTTTCCAGCATTCTGTAAACTCTGGAAGAGTTCCAATGGACTTGAGGGTAGTTAGTGTAACCCCACACTTTAAAAAAGGAGGGAAAGAGGAAATGACAAATTATAGGCCTATTAGCCTGATGTTGGTGATGGGGAAAATGCTGGAGTCAATCATTAGGATACAATAACTGAGCATTTAGAAAGCAGTGCCAGAATCAGTCCAAGTCAGCATGAATTCAGGAAATTATGCTCGATAAATCTTCTGGAATTTTTTGAGGATGTGACCAGTAGAATAGGCAGTGGTGCATCAGTAGATGTTGTGTATCTGGAATTTCAAAAGGCTTTTGACAAGGTCCCACACAAGAGATTAGTAAGGAAAATTCAAACTCATGGTATTGGAAGTAGTGTATTGACATTGGTAGAGAACTGGTTGGCGGACAGTTAAAATAAATAGACCCTTTACAGAATGGCAGTGACAAGTGGGGGTGCTGCAGGGTTCAGTGCTGGGACCCCAGCCATTCACAATATACATTAAAAGTTTGGATGAAGGAACTGAATGAGATGTCTTCAAATTTGCAGATGACACTATGTTGGGTGGCAGCGTGTGCTGTGAAGAGAATGTGAAGAGGTTGTAGGGTGACTTGGACAGACTAGCAGAGTGGGCAAATACTTGGCAACTGCAATACAATGTGGATAAATGTGAGGTTATTCACTTTGGTGGCAAAAACAAGAAGGCAAATTATCTGAATGGTGGCAGTTAAGGAGAAGGTGAGGTGCAACGAGACCCAGGTGTCATGGTGGGACAGTTACCGAAGGTTGGCATGCAGGTCCAGCAGCGGTGAGGAAAGCTAATGGCATGCTTTCCTTCACAGCGAGGGGATTTGGCTATTGGAGTAAGGATGTCTTGTTGTAGTTATACAGTTTTTGTCTCCTAGTCTGAGGAAGGACATTCTTGCTATTGAGGTAGTCCAGTGAAGGTTCACCAGACTGATTCCCGGGATGGCAGGACTGACGTATGAGGGAAGACTGGATCGATTGGGCTTGTATGCTCTGAAATTTATAAGAATGAAAGAGGATCTCATAGAAACATACAAAATCTAGATGGACTAGGCAGGCTAGATGTGGGAAGAATGTTCCCAATGTTGGGGAAGTCCAGAACAAGGAGTCACAGTCTAAGAATAAGGGGCAAGCCACTCAGGACTGAGATGAGGAAGAATTTTTTTTACTCAGTTGTGAACCTGTGGAATTCTCTCTTACACAAAGCTGTTAGAGCCAGTTCATTAGATATGTTCAAGGGGAGCTGGATGTGGCCCTTGCGACCAAAGGGGTCATGGGGTATGGGGAGAGGGCAGGAATGGGATACTGAGATTGAACGATCGCCATGATCACATTGAATGGTGGTGCAGGCTCAAAGGGCCGAACAGCCTACTCCTACACATTTTTTTTCTATGTTAAAGATACTTAAATTTACTAGATCATACATTTCCATGTCCTGCAGATTCAGTAGGCAACTGCCTACAAGATGAAAGGGATCGATGTCACTGATTTTCTTGAGATAGAGCTGATGATTTTGACAAAGTTGTTATGGCACAGAAAGAGGCCATTTGGCTCATCATGCTTGCACTAGCTCTTAGGTGAACATCTTCCGTTAGTGTTAATCTTCTGCATTTTCTCCATACACTTGCACACTATTACAATCCAAATCACCATCCAAAGCTCTCCTGAATGCCTTGACTGAACCTGCTTCTACCACATCTCCAGGCAATAAATTCCACACAATACCAACACACAATACAACTGTGTGAAGAAGTTTTTCTCACAAACACCCTTGCTTCATTTGTACATCACTTTAAATCTATGTGCTCTTGTTCCTCTTCTCTGCCCATCCTGCTCATGATTTTAAAAACCAGTCCCAATTTCTTTTATCTATCCTCATGACTGATGTTTAACATACCGGAACTATTTTTGTAAATCGAGTCTGCATTCTCTCCAATGCATTCTCATTTTTCTAATCACATAGCACCACAACAGTAAACAATATTCCACCTGAGACCTAACAGGTGTCTTGTGAAGTTCAACATCACCTCTTCGTTCCTATAATCTATGCCTCTATTAATAGATCTGAGGATACTCTATGCTTATTAACTGCACCTATTCTGCCACCTTCATTAATCTGTGCACATATATACCCAAGGTCATTCTGCTCCTGCACTCCCTTCAGAAAATACCCTCTATTTTATTCAAACAAAGAACTGCAGATCCGAGACAGAAACAGAAATTGCTGGAGAAACTCAGCAGGTATGGCATCATCTGTGGAAATAAGCAGAGTTAATATTTGAATTCACTGACCCGTCTTCAGAATCTTCTATCTTACATTGTCTTTCAATGCTCTTCTGACCAAGTGCAGCACATCACACTTCTCTGCATTGAATGTCATCTGTCATCCATTACCCACCCCAACAACTTGTCAATGTCCTTTTGGAGTTACCATACTGTCCTCCTCACAGGTTACAATTCTTCCAGGTTTTGGGTCATCTGCAAAATTGTCCCCTACACACTAAGATCCGGAAAACCAAGGATCCCAGTACTGCCCCTTGGGGAATTCCGCTACAAATTTCCTCCAGCCTGAAAAATATCCACTGACCATTACTCTCTATTTCCTATAATCAGCCAATTTTGTATCCATATTGCCACTGTCCCTTTTATATCATAGCCTATAAATTTCCTCAAGTCTTACTTGGCACTGTATCAAATGCTTTCTGAAAATCCACGTTTACCACAACAGCAGCAATACCCTCGCCGGGACTCTGTTACCTTTTTGAAGGGTTCCAGCAAGTTAGTTAAATGCAATTTGCCCCTTAGAAATCCATGCTGATGCTTCCTAATCAACCTACCTCTTTCCATGTGACTACTAATTCTATCCCAAATAATTGTCTTTAGAAGAGTCCCCACCACTGAAGTTAAAGTGATTAGTCCATAATTGTTGGGGCTCTCCTTGCAAACTTTCCTAAACAAGGCTGTACTGTTTGAAATTCTCTAATCTTCTTGCGCCTGCCTCGAGTCCAAGACCGACCAAAATATCACGGCCAGTACCCCTGCAATTTCTACCCTCACTCCCTTCAAAATCCTGGGATGCATCTCATCCAGTTCTAGTGCCTTATCAACTTTAAGCACTAACAGTAAATCAAATAATTTTTCCTTCTTAATTTTGCACCCTTCTAATGACAGAGTGTTTCCTCTGTCTCACCATGGGTTTGACAGCATCTTCCTCTTTTGCAAAACGACAGAAGAAAGTATTCATTTAACATCTCAGCCATGCTCCCTGCCTCCAGACATAAATTCCATCTTGGGTCTCCAATGAGCCTTGCTTCTCCTTTAACTACTCTTTTACAATTTATGCAACTTTGGAAATCCCTTTTATGTTAGTTGCTAGTCTTTTCTCATAATTTCTCTTTGCTTCTTTTATTTGCTTCTTCAGCTCCCCTGTAAACTTTCATATTGTTCTTGGTTCTCAATCATAATTTGTCACAAACCTGTCATATGCTTTTTCTTCTTATGCTAACCTTGATTACCTTTGTCATCCAGGTAAATCTGAAATTTTTTATTCTAACTTTTCCGTTTGAGTTCTTTCCCCATTGATGACAGCTGTCTGCCAATTAACTTTTATTTTAGATTGCTGCATGTCATTCTCCACCATCACCTTGAACCTTATTATTTTTGTCTTTTATAAGTTCCCTGTGACACTTGATCCACCTGGCCCATTTCATTTCCAAGGA